AGGGTTTCTCTATTTAGCCCTGGTCTTGAACTCAGAGATCTGCCTGCCTCTGCCTCCCAAGTGCTGGGAATAAAGGTGTGTGCCATCATGCCCTGCCTTACATTTACAATCTTATGACTTTTAAAGAAAAAAAATAAAAAACAAACAAACAAAAAAAACACATACTTTTTAAAACTTTTGTAAGACACTGTTGTTTAAATATTGAAAATAAGCATTAAAAGAAAACCAAATCTTTGTCATCTGGGCACAGAACAATTGTAAAGAGAAATCTTCCAAATCATTAACAGTAACATGCTAGTTAAGAGTTTCTGCTGTTGCTGTTGGAATCTGTTGGTGAGTTTAATCATCTCAGTAAGAAGCTGTCAGCCTCAGGAAAACACTGGAATTGGTTTTTAATATTGGAAACATGTTAGAGGCCATAAGGATTTCGCTAGAATCTGAGCATTTTTGTTTTATTGGTGTCCACATATTGACATGCTTTTACCATCAGTGAGAGCAAGAGGGTCTGTATCAATGGAAGGCAGATTTATTAACTGATCATTATTTTAATAATCAAGACTACATTGTCCTATGTTCATTAAAGGAATGGTGATAGCAGCCTCTTTATTGTTTGTCTATAACTTGCTGTAGACAACTAACACAGCCAATAAAGGGATCTGTCTGACAGTGGATGAAGTTCTGAGGATGAATTATAATCAGGGACTTCATTTGAAGTCCTGGAAGTCAGTGGAGTCCACAGCATAGACAGGAAGCCAAGGACTGAATTTGTTTAGTAACCATTTAAAGATGGAAAGTGTTTTTAAGGCCTTGGCAGACATGATTTTTGGAAACAGGATTGGATTTAAAGCAAATGAAAAAATAAATCACTGCTAAGATGTAATAACATTATTGTTATTTATTATTATTATTATTATTATTATTATTATTATTATCATTATTATTATCATCATCGTCATTATTATTTTGGTCCCCCAAAGTTCAGGAAAGTGGATAAATCACTAGAATATTTTCTTACCACCCAAATTCCCAAGCCTACACATTTTTAACTTTTTAAAAACATCAGTTATATTGCCCAAATTCATTATTGAAAGAATTTAACAAGACATTATTTTGTCAATTGTGTAAATTACCAATAAAGTATAGCATATGCAAATATAACAAAACCATTTGCATAGTGATGATACTCCAACTATATGGATATTAGTCATAGAAACTAGAAGCTTTGTGATATTGTTAAATTTTTCTGTCTAGTCATCTGCACTTAAATATCAATCATTTTTCTTTTTGGCTTCTGCCCTTAAAATTTATATATATCCAATACATTTAATTGAGAAATGTATGCTTTTTATTATGCTGTATGTTCCTTTTTATTTGTTAACTATTGTTTATATTTTCAATTAAAATGTACAAAACAAAGTTACATCGCTGGTCATGTAAGAGCTCTACACGTTTTCTAAGGTACCTATAACTGTAGCAGGTCACCTACTTCAAGCAGTTGGATTCTGTTCATTTGTTATTTTTAAGACCACCTCAGATTTAAAGGCTACCTTATTTTACGTTTAAAGTATTCTATAACAGTGTAGTAGTCAATAAGACACTATTTTTTCTTTTGGAGAGAAAATGACATGGGTTGAGCCACGGTTTTAAAGGCATATTTTTAAGACACCAAGAAATTAAATACATTGAGGGGGAATGTCTTTCTGTATTATAGATCTCTTTTTGGTTGATGAATAAAACATTGTGGTCGATGAGGAAGGAAGATAGGTAGGGTGGAGAGAAGAGGAGAATTCTGGAAAGTATAGGCAGAGAAGAGATATAACGTAGAGTTCAGGAAAAGATTAGTGCACCAGGTGTTCTCTGGTAAGCCAAGAGCACATGTAAAAACATAGAAGAATAGAATAGGGATAATAATTAAGACAGAGCTAGCCAAAAAAAAAAAAAAAAAGAGCCCTAGCACTGGCCAACAATGTCATAATTAATATAGTTTCTGTATGTCTGTATTATTTGAGGCAGAAGTGTGGCAGGACCCTGAAAAGCTAGAAAACTAATGCTTACAACAGATTTTAAGATTTTAATTTATATCAGGAAAAAAGTATCAGACATATCCTTCATAGCCAAAGTTCTGGGAAAACCAACGTGTTTTCAAGGTGAAGGCAAAGTTTAACAAGCCGCTCAGCCTCAAGCTGGAGGTCTGCTTGCTGCTAGGAAGGCAGCCATGACCTGCCTGCCAATTTGCTGGAGAAGATATGGTGGACAGGGAAAGAGGAGGCCCTGCAGGAGAGAGCCAGAGTGCACTCAGAAATGAAAGTTCACACATTCAATTTCAATGGTGCCTTAGCTCTAATTTTTAAAGTAACAATTGTATTTGCTGGGGGTGCATGTGAAATGTAGGAGGCAAAGAACTCCCCTTAGCAAAAGCAGACAGGTGCGGCAGAGTCCAAGGCTGGCAAGCAAAAGAAGTGACAGGGTTAGAGAGCTGTGGTTTGGGCCAGCCCTCCCCAGACAAAGGCCAATCTATTTCACAGTCATCAGGAGACTCCAGGAGGCAATGTATTTGCTCCTTTTGAGATGTCCAGCCATATATTCTCTGGGGTAAATTTTACTCTGCTGTGAACCCATATTCTCCCCCTTAAATATACAATCACACATGAGAAGGGAAAAGGAGGGGCCATGCAGGCTTTGTCCATCTTATTATTATGTACACATTCAATCATCTTTAACCCCCATCCAATACACTGTGGTCACTGCAGAACTGCATTTCTTTCTAAAATCTTCTATCACAATGCACAGGAGTTCTGGGCTCTGGAAAGTGACTGGGCTTCCTTATACACTCTGGGGTAGAATGGCCAGAACCAACAATGGGCAGAGCTCCTTCATATGGTTTCTGGGCCGTGTTCTTTGTGCTGTGCCTTGGGGTCCTTGCTCTGGGATGGCAGCAGAGTCAATCTCCTACAGATCCATGGTCTACAGGTACCATGCTTATCTACTGTCACATGCCTAGAGAGTTCTGTACGCCAGCAATGAAGCAGTAAAAACACCATCACCATACCCCAACAGGAGCACCCAAGATCATTAGAAGTTTTCAGTTCCAAGGACCAGAACACGGAGGCTTCCTTTACAGAATCTAGTTCACAGTCCAGGCCAGCGGGCTTGGCAGAGGACTCTGAGTCCAGTCCTGAATATGTTGGGACAGAACAGTCCTTCTTTGTCTCCTGCATGTGGTGACTTGCATTTTTATTGGGATCTGTCACTCTGGCCAGTGAGCTAGAAATGCTGACATATGGGTGGGGGGTAGAGGAGATTTGGGGAGAAGTTACAAGCATGCTCAAGGTCAGTGACCACCACAACTGACTGTTTTATGCTTTTTGTTTTCTTGGGTGGAAGGGAATATGCAGGGGACACATGACAGACTACCACAATGGCTGTGACTGACCTTTCCTTTTCCGATTGTATTTAGGGCCTGATCTACAAGATGGAAATCATATCAGAAGCTGTGGCTGGTGGGGTCACAGGTCCCAGAGGAGAATCTACTGTTGCTCTTCTAAATGGATATGGTATTAAGGTGACATCTAATGAGTTGCTGTGACACCCATAGATGAGTCCATCTCAGACCTTCATCAGTAAAGCTTCCTTTTGCAGAAGACAGTGATTAACTCTGACCCACCACAGGTCACCATACTGAGAAAAGAGACTACAGAAGATTTGTATATCACACAGCTCCTCCCAAGGATCAAGAATCCTGAAAGAGAGGCTAGAGAATCTGAAGAGCAAGAGGCTGGGACAACTACAACAGTGTTGTGTTGTCACAATTGGACAGTGACACATGAATGCAGAGCAGTTGTGACAACATGGACAACACCTGTACAAGATCAAGTCAGACAAAATCCCTTCATGGAAGGGAGAGGTGGACATGAAGTCCTTCCCCTAGCTGAGGACCGATGGGAGGTTGATGGTTTCTGGGAGTGGAAGAGCCCATTTCCTTTAAAGATGTGTCCTGTGAGAGCATCCCCATGGACAGTGCTCAGGAGACCCAGGGGTGTACAAAAAGGAAAACAAAGAGTGAGACAGGGAGGGGACAGTAGTGAGAGAGATCAGAAATGCAGCAGTTGCTTTCCTGTTGCTGTGATACAACACTGTGTCAAGGCAACCTGTACAAGAAAGCGTTCCTTTGCCTTAGGTTTCCAGTGTGATGGGAGCCATCTTGGCAGGGAGGCATGGCATCAGGCTGCAGGCAAGGAAGTGGGAGAGGAAGCTGACTGCTCACGTTCTCACAGTGCATAGCATATAGGGAAGAGGAAGGGGACAAGACTGTAAACTCCCTAAGCCCCTCCCCCACCCAGGGACAGACTTGCCCCATCAAGTCCCTGCCTCCCAATGGTCCCAGAACCTCTCCAACATCACCACCACCTGTGTGTAGTTTATGGGCTTGAAACACTAAGACTGGGTATCCAATTGCACACAGATGAGCAAAAGTCTGCTGATTCAGGAGACTGGTTAGTACTTAGGAGTCTGGATTCTCCCAGGAACCCTTTTCAGAACAAAGGTGAGCCGTGAGACTCTGTGTGATGAACACTTTACACTGCTCATGACCTTTGCTTCCCCATTAGAGACTACTGAATAAACCACAGCACCTCTGCTATGGTGAAAGCAGCAGGCAAGTCTCTCACACCTGTGAAAGGAAGGCTGCAATCTTCCTTGTTGTGGGGGAATCACCAATCATGCCACCTTCTTGAAATTCCAGCTTATTATGGCTTTGTAATAAGGTCCCAAGAAATGCCTGTTAAGAGCTCGCTAGAAAGGGCATGCTAACCACATCATAGCCCTGACATTGGAGCAGTAGCCACAAAGCCTGGAGGGAAGGATGCTCCTTCTCTTCTACAGACCATAATAAGTTTTAGCACAGGATCTCACGTCCCAAATACTGATGTGTTAAGCATGTACATTGTCAAGAAGTAGTACCAGGAGAACTTTCCTCTTAAATGAACACAATTCACACTCACCAACATGAACATATAATAGTTGATTAAGAGTTGTGTTGTTACAGCTGCTGCAGTCTCTCCTGCCCCTAAAGACAGGGCCACGGAACTGGCAGAATAAGCCAACGTCATGACAGTAAATATTGTAGTGCAGAACCCATTCACATCTGTTTTTACTCCTTAGAAAGAAAAAGGTTGCGTTAGTCCAATGTTCAAAAAATAGTTAATCACCACAGAGACTAGTAGGAGTTTTACAGCCAGCCTACTAATCTGGGTCCACTTTAATTGCCTCCTTCCATGTGAGTACACAAAGTTGTTATGCAATGTTTCCTTTTTAAGATTTATTAAATTTTTATTCATGTGTATATTAACTTGTCTGTTCTAATGTATCCCAAATGTGTGCAGTTGCCTTTGGAAGCCAGAAGAGGGCATCAGATCTGGCAGTGAAAGCTGCCTGATGATGGGGGTGCTGGAACCCAAATTTGGAAACCATGGGGGGCAGCATGTGTTCCTAACCAATGAGCTATCTCTCCAGCCTCGCCACATGGCTTTATTTTTATACTTGCCATAGAATACTTTTCCATGTAATGCCTATTCTCTTTTTTACAGTTATGAGCAATTTATGATATCCTGACATGGTGAGTACAGGCAATACAACTGACCAAAATTCTGCTGCCTTCTTACCAGTAGAAATTACCAGTAGAAATCCTTCTTGTCCTCACTCCTCTGTGTTTATACAATTACATTAGTAATGAATTTGGAATCAGCATTGTTCTGGTGTTTTGGTTTTTTTTTTTTTTTTTTTTTTTTTTTTTTTTGTCACTATAAAACTAGGATCCTATGGGAAGAGCCAACCTCATTAAGAAAATGCCTTCATTAAATTGGCACTTAGACAAGCCTGTGCCACCATTTTCTTGATGAATGATTCAAGTGCAAAGTCTTAGATAAAGTGGATGACGTTATCCCTAGGCAGGTGGTTCTGGGTTCTATAAGAGATCAGGCTGAGGGAGTCAGTAAAGTAAGTCAGTAAGTAGCACACTCCATGGCCTCTGCTTCACTTCCTGACTCCAGGTTTCTGCTCTGAGTTCCCACCCTGACTTCCCTTCTTGATAGACATTGAACTGTAAGATCAAATAAACCCTTTCCTCCCCAACTTGGTTCCTCTCATGATGTTTATTACAGCTCTGGAAACCTAAGTAAGGCAAGGATTAAACACCCTTGCAATGGTTTAAATATCTAGAGGAAAGGATGGTGCCTCCAACTTTAGATTTCCCTAGGAAATCACCATGTAACTGCTATGGAGGAATGCAATGGATTCACAAGCTGATTTGTAATCTTTATGGAGCTCATGCTATGAGTCATCCACAGTGCTGTGTTTTCTAATAGTCACAGCGACACAAGTTAGAGTCTGGGGGAGCTGAGTTCCATGCCTAATCGTTTTCAAAGTTATTGTTGACATTATCATGGTGTGTACAGAGCATGTATGGGTATAGGTGTTCATGTATCATTGTGTACATGTGCCATGGTGGGAATGTAAAATGGTGTGCATGTGTCGTGGTATGTGAGTACCATGGCATGTATATGGAGTTGAAGGACAACTTTCTGAGTGAGTTTCTCTTCCACTGTGGATTCTGAGGGTCAAATTCAGGTTGTCTGGCTTGCAGAACAAGCACATTTCCCCAAACCATCTCATGTCCTGAATGACTGGTCCTGAATGATAATCTCTTACTTACTACAGAAAATCAAAGCTTTATCAGTGTTTTTCTTGTGCATGCATGTGTGCATATCTCTGTGTGTGCATGTGTGATATTGTGTGGGTGTGTAATGTATATGTCTGTGTGAGTGTGTGCGTATCTGTGAGAATGTGTGTAGTATATAGTGTATGTTGCATCACTGTATATGAGTGTGTGTGAATGTGTGTGTTTCATGTCTGTGTGTGAGTGTATACATGTGATTGTGTATCTGTGTATGAGTGGTGTGTGAGTGTAGGTGTGGGTGAGTATGTGTATGTGCATTTGTGAGTATGTAGCTGTGTGTATGATGTGTTCATATCTGCATATATGTATGTGTATATGTCTGTGTGAGTTGTGCATGTGTGAAAATCATGGAAATTCTAAACAGCCTAGGATGAAGCTTAACCATATTCATAGATTATTATGTGCACATATTTTAAATGATATTTACATTATATCATTTTTAAAAACCCAAATTAACTGTCCTCTCTCTTTGTAAGATGGTAAAAGAAGACAATTTACACATTTAAGTATTTTACACAAATGTACATATGTATGAGATATTTTCTACTTTTCAATACTTTATTTACATATATAGGCACGAGAGAGAGAGATAGAGAGTGAGAGAGAGAGATAAGCAGCTGGGCTGGAGAGATGGGTTACTGGTTAAGAGTGAGCAATAACTGCTAATTGCAGAGGCCCTAGATTCCATTCCTGCACCCACATGGTGTCTCACATTCTCCTGTGACTCCATCTCAAAGGGATCTGATGTCCTCTTCTGGCCTCCCAGGCACTACATCTTCTTAGTTTGTACACACACACAGACACACACACAAGCAAATGCACATGTAATAGAAAAATATTACAATATGTAGATATGTATGTAATAATTTATTTTGCTCATTGCCACCACCTCAAATGTATGTTATTTATTCAGTCATTACACTACGCAGAATCTCTTAATTAAATTGCTATTTCATAAACAGATTTGTAGTATTCTATGAACAAGTCTTGGAGACTTTCCTCACACTGAACACCAGTGTTAGGCAGTGCACAGTGGAGACATGCTTTTCTACTTATGTCTCTCTACTTTAGGCTTGCCACAGTTGTACAAACCAAAACGTGTTCTGCCAAGAGTAAAGATCCTTTCTCTTGTTTTCTTTCTTACCTGCTGTGATGAATACTATAACAGTAAATGCAATACTTTGCCATAACCTCCTGGGTACCAGCTCAATCAGCAATTTCCCAAAGAAATATGATGACACTCTGTAGTATCCACTGGTATGCTCATGTCTACAGAGACAAAGATCATGTTATACACATCCTTAGGATATTCCAGAAGGCACAGGTGAGATGCTGGCTACAATGACTTCTGTTACCACAGGGAGCCTACCAGGACAGTGTCTCCTGTGCTCCAGGCTGACTCCCATTGAGGTCCCCATCTTAGGGACCAGCATCTCTAGGCCAGCATCCTTATAATATCCTCACTATGATTTCTCCATCAGAGAACTCTCCCCTCCTTTTTCCCCTCTGGCCACACAAGAGCCCCTCCATGGAAACAGTCCGATGAGCCCACTCTCCTCAGAGTCTCTGCCCCTCTGAAGCTGGCTCCCTGAGGAGCAACTTATTCATACCTCACTCATACAGTGGTCATGGAGACTTCTCTCCTTCCAGTTCTTATGAAGAAGGTGACACTGTCACTCTGAGGCCACAGTGCAGCTTCAGGACACTGCATCCTTCTCTTCAGCTACTCTCACTTTAGGACAGATGTATTCCTTCAGTAGTCTCTTTTACAACCACAAATCATTACCAGAATCTTTACCAGATACCAAACCTAATCCTTTCCCTTCCTGGCCTTTCCTAATCCCAAGCTCTTTCCCCTCCCAGTGAGCTCATTGTAACTGTGTTTTTTGAGACTAGACCACTACTGTAGGCTGGCCTCAAACTCCATATGTATCCAAGAATGACCATCTTCCTACATAACTCTACTTCTGCAGGACTACCTGCCATGCTCAGGTTTATGTGGTACTGTGAGTCTAACACAGGGCTTTGTGCACACAAAGCAACCACTCTACCAACTGAGTGAGGCACTCAGCTCCCCTCTTATGTCTCTTCTTGACATGTACTTGGGGATCTTGGCCAACTTTCTGGGCAGTGAATCCTAAAGTATAGGTCACTGGGGAAAGGTTCTCCCATGATTGAGAAACACAGGAGATAAACAGCTCTTTCTACACAGCTGCCATCTGGCTCTTTCCACTGCTCCGTCCCCAGGCTGTGCCCACTCTCACTAATATACAGCTGTACCGAGAGCTGTATATTGGAGACAGCTCCAATGTGCTGCTGAACCCACTAGGCTAAAACCTCATGAAATCCCTGACATCTTCTCTGTGGGGTCACGAATTTCCCTTGATTTCCAGTCCCCTCCTGCTGTGTTGTCTACAGCACTGAGATCTGGTAACTAAACCCCAAATTTGAAACATTCTCTAAGCAGCTGACACATCTGCTCTTGATTTTCCAACCAGGTGGCATTATCATTAGCAATCTCTTTACATACTTCAAAAGTCATGATATCATATGATAAACACAAAACTTCATAATGTGTGTACTTTTCAACTAAACAAATAAGCAAGAAAGTGCATGGGGGATACTGGTTTGTCATAACATCCTAGGCTCAGATATGAATGTAATTTCTGATGCCTGCTCTTGGGGCAGGAGCTACTCACAGAAATTGACCCCTGTCGATCATGAAGAGCTCCTTGGCAGACAAGCTTGTCAAACATTCATAGCTTGTGATCATGTATAGCAGGACAGATCTGTAGGCAGAGAATGGAGGAGAAAGCAACAGTAAATTCAATTTAGAAATAGTTTTATAACAATTGAAGTTTTTCTGTAGTTTAAATAACATCACATAGATATATTAAAACACACACACACACACACACACACACACACACACACACACCAGAGCTGGAGAGATGGCATAGTAGTAAAGAGAGCTTGTTGCTCTTGCAAAGGACCCAGGGTTGGTTGTCATCACCCATATGTTGGGTCACAACCATCTGTCACTACTGTTCCAGTGGTTATGATGCCCTCTTCTGGTCGCCACAGGTCTCAGGGCACACATGGTACATACACATCCATGCAGACAAACACTCACGCACACAAAAACACAATAAGTATTTAAAAAATGAAGAAGGAAAATGAGGAACTGTCTGGTTAAAAGGTCGGATAGTATGAGTCCCATGATTATTTCCTCTGTGTCTCCACAGTGGTATCTATTAATTCAAGTTTGTCCTTTAATATCTAACAGTTTGATAACAACCCTTACTCTAATGATCCTAGGGTATGTAGTTTAGAAGTTAATTGGTTTTAGAAGAATTCATGAGAGTGGAGCCCATGATGTCATCTGTGTCCTCATCATGGGAAGAAACAGAAATGTAGTGACTGCCAGGAGAAGGCTGAGAGGAGGTGGTCAGAAAGGAAGCCCTGGGAGAGACTCACACTGCAGTGTGGATGCACATTTCCTTTTAGATCCACTGACCTGTGGTATTTAGTCCTGGCAGCCCAACCCTTCACTTCAATTTAACTAACAAAGTTGGTAAGCATTTTCCCTAATACATAAAGAGAGAAAGGTAAAGATGAGTAAAACTCCAAGGAGTTATCATATTCAATCTATCACTTGATTTTACCGAGGGGTAAGGATGAGAACATGAAACAAACAGTAGGGGAATCCCCACTCAACAGCTTACTACAGACACGGACTGTAGAAACATCTTTAAAGCCTTGAGTATTCCTTAAGTAGACCTACTAATGTCCTACATGGTTTCCAAAGAGCTCAGAAATTAATTCAGTTATGCCATTTATGAAGAAATAATTTGTGTCCATGTGATAGGGAAGGGTAATCAGGGGAGGAGGAACAAAGTACCCTGGACACAAGTAAGGTTTCTCTAAGACAGAGGGCACGATGGGCCTAAAAGCCTACAACTTAACACCTTTTCAACTGACAATCTGAGTACACTGTGGCGGTTAGACATCAGATCAGGTGAGGGGGGACCTTATTGTGGAGTAGTTTCTTCCTACATCACAGAAACATTCCATTTTATAATCCATCAGACAAAAGGATGGGAAAGGAAAAGACAGCCTGAGAATGAGTGGGAAGGAGGACCTCCAAATCTGGGACTTGGGACACAGAGGCTTGATGACAAGCCTGGGATTCATGACACTTTCTGCATCTATTGGGTCCCAACTGTGGTCTTGATCAAAAGGTTCCAACATACAACAGAGTCCTGGGCACTCCATGACCAAGCACAGAGCAGATGGCCTGGGTGTCTCCTCCTCTCCTAATGAGACTCTTGTTTTCAAGGATCATCTCTTTAACTTTACTAAATGCACAACTTTCTCTCTTTCCACTCTTCCATTCCCCCCACACACACACCCATTCCCTGGTGCTCAGGGAATTCTCCTTCTCCCAGTCTCCAATACCTTGTCCTCAATTCCATCTGTGCTTACTTTCATATGTTTTCATCAAGAAAACCAAGGACTTAGAAACAGAATCTTGTGGCTCTGGCTAAACTTAAACATACACCACATTTACTCTCTGATTTGATGTTCTACCTATTACTATTGTAGATTAACAACCCATATCTATACATTTAAAGTATAACACCAATATGTTATAGCCTAAAACAGCTGTAATACTCATCTCGCTGCAGAATAAATATGCTCCACACTGAAACAAATACATAGGAGACCTGATTATTATATTTTCTCTTTTCTTCAAAATTACTCAGTGTTTTCCACAAATAAAAAATGATCTGTGGGTCTTTGGAGCTGGCCCATTAAGCAAAGTGTCTGCCATGGAGCCCTGAAAACCTGAGTGCAGATGCCTGGAACATATGTAAAGGTATCCAGGCACAGTACCTAACATCTGTAATTCCAGTGATGGAGGGTACAGAGGCGAGTGTTTGCAGCTTATTGGCCAGTCAGCCGAGCCAAGTCAGTGAGCTCCATATTCAGTAAGGGACCTGCCTTGAAAAAGAAAGTGGAGGTGGTCAAGGAAAACCTGCCATCAATCTCTGACCTCCACATGCAGACACAGATATGCTCACTAACATGCACATGTGTACACACCCACAAAAACATGAGTGAATCCATCACAAACCTGTACACTACAAATTGGCACAAGTGGGTGCATGTGTGTATGTGTGTGTGTGTGTGTGTGTGTGTGTGTGTGTGTGTGTACAAGCAACCCCCCAAAACACAGATTCCACATGAACAGTACATCCATGATCAAACTTATGCCCATTGGGAGGTACCCTGAGGATGTAGGTGTAAAAAAGGGAGCTTAGTTGAGCAAACAGTGGTGAGGCACACATAAATTACAGTGAAAATACTGAAAAAGTGATCCTGATGAGAAAATATGTTTAGAACACACTATAGTCATTAAAAAGATTTAACATGAAAGCATATCTTTAAAGTTACATCATAGCTCAAACTAGATAAGGATCACAAATGTGACAGCTATGAGACAAGTCAGGAGAAACTGAGTCCCATCATATTGCTCCTCTACATCCAAACAATCCAAATAAATTCAAGAAAATTGATGCCTGAGCAACAAAAGTAGAATAAATGCATACACTAAAAACGTTTCTACATCATGGCATTATGAACAGAATAGAAAGGCAACACACAAAAGGTAAGATATGTCTGTGGATTGTGGTGGGTGTGGTGGGGGATTCACAACTCAGACAAAATTACTATAAATCAATAGCAGAGAAAATTAAAGGCCATGGAAAATTAAGAGCTGGTTCAGCAGGTAGGATGATGGCCACCAAGCTTGATGACTTTGAGTACAATCCCTGAAACCCATGTGGTGGAGGAAAAGCTCTTGCAAATTTTCCTCAACCTCCTCATACACACTGTAGGACACACATGCCCACACACTAAAGAAACACATGATTTTGGAGTGCAAATAAAACATTTCTATTTAACATGGGAAAATGGGTCCTGCAAACACTTCATAAAACATTCAGTGGCTCACAAATTACTTTCCTTAGACATCTTATTGCAAACAAGGGAGAACGTAAGTTGGGTGAGGATGTGGACACACTGGATCTCTGTGTTCTGCTGGTAAGGATACGACTAGCACAGTGGAGTTGGAGACAGCACAGCAGTTCCTCAAACAGTTAACACAGTGGCTTGTCATTTGTCAACTCTAGCTTTCTACCTTAAAGAGTAAAGTCCAGGGCTCAAACAGATGTGCTTGCACACCCAACAGCATGGTTCACAGCAGCCACCGATGAGAGCAAACCACATGTCTAGCCACAGAGAATGGGAAGAAATGCAGCAAATACTCACAATACAGAGCCCAAGAAATCCCCACACATGCCACACTTTGATGGACCCTGAGGACATTATACCCATGGAAACAAGCCAGACAAATCAAACAAGAACAAAACCAAAACACAGATACTTGTGTGAGTCTAACTCAGGGCTCATACATTAGTCATAGCCAATGACAGGAAGTAGAACGGTTGATGCCTGGAATCAGGAGTGGGTGGTATGGGGATTCTTCTTTCAGATGTATGGGGTTCCATTCCAGATGATGAAGAAATGCCCTACTTTTAAGTATGGTGATAGTCGCATAACATGAAGCTGCTCCATACACTCGTGCTGGTAAAACGTGAAATGTGTGGTGTGTATAGATTCATACTATCTACACAAACATATGTGAAAAAGTGAGTTCTTTCACTCAGCTTTCAATGTATCAACACACTCTTTCACATGGTAAAATGTTTACACTGTTCTTTTCAACAATTCCAATTCTTAATGGATTTACCTAAGTTTGAACAAAGTAACAGCATTTTCTCATTTGCTTACCTCCTCTGGACTTCAGTACAATCACCTTGTAGGAAATGGTAAGTGGAACCTACAGACATGGCCACTAAGACTCCAATAATTGCCTTTCAAAATATTACAAAAAAAAAAAAAAAAAAAAAAAAAAAAAGGAAAAAGTCACATTAGGAGTAGAAATTATTTTATACATTGTCTATTATTTTAAGATACATGATTTTCTAATCAGATCTCCCCATGGAGATAAACACTGTATTTTGTCAAGAGTCCCAGGGAAAACATAAAACACACATGTCAATAGACTGCTCGGATGGTAAACTGAAATTAAGGTCTCTGCAATCTGAGGCTCTGACAGGACAGGCCCTGGAAAAGCTCAGACTGCTCCCACTGATCCACCAGGAAGGCCAGTGAAGGGCTCAGGCCAAGCAGTGAAACTCAGATGACACAGGGGTAACAGAACACCTGGGAGGTTAGGGGACACACCAACCTAAAAGACAAAACATGTTCACCTAACCTAGGATCTCAACTCTGCTGCCAGTGAATGTGGGCGGGCTTCTACTTAGAGTGGCTGAAAAGAATCCATGTTCTCTTTACTCTTACAGTTAGAAACAAGTACACCCCAGGCCTGGGGGCAGCTCAGAGGCAGAGTCCTGCACAATAGACAGGAGATGCTGGCCCCTCAATGCAAACCAAACAACACAATTAAAACTGACTTAAAACAAAGCAATGGGATTTTGTGCTAAGAAGGGGTCCACTGTGTTGCCTCTGGGAAATGTGTGTCTGTGTGCGAAGGGACACTGTTGCTGTATTGTTGTCACCAAGTATTCACACAGCGTCCTCTGGGCTGCTCAATGCTCCCATTGCCCATCGTCTCTGTTACTGCTGCTCCATCAAACTCCGCCTGGGCATCCTGTGCTCAAGTCTCCTCTAAGCTGTCAACTCCTCCATCCCCTCATCTACCTCCATCTGTGCAGACAGTCACACTGCTTTGGTCTGGGGTTAAAATGGCTTTAATGTGTGCTTCACTTAACAAAGGTGTAAGGCCACATGATGCGGTAACTTATTTGAAAGATTCTAGTATTCCTCTGATAATGTTTAGAATATTATTATCTAAAGGAAAGCATCCTACAATTTAAATTCATAATGTAGAAACCAAAATCCCTGAGTTTGAAGATATGTTTCAGCAGTTAAGAACACTTGTTCTTGAGAGGCCCTGGGATTCATTTCCTACCACCCCAATAACGCCTAACAATCTGTAATTCCACATCCAGAGGATCTGATGGCTTCTTCTGGCCTCCATGAACATGCACATGATGGGAAGTTACACATGCAGGCAAAACACCAATATACAATAAATAAATAAAACTTTTAAAAATTATTCCACAATTCCTACCATTGCTAACACACAAACTTTTTCTGCATGATACTGCTCACTGTTGAACAATAGGTAACCCTTTTTGATGAGTGAAACTCACCTATTTCCTAATCATATTAAATATTTGAAGTCGAAGAATTTAGACATAAAAATTCTCCTTTTATGACTTAGATTTCCAAGATTAAAGGCCAAAGTATTTGGAGCAACAGACAGTATAACTCAAATGGAAAGAATATTAACATATACCAGGGAAGACTGCAATATTTAAATATGGAATTGGTGGTACTCATATTTAGAACAGTGTTCCATTACAGCAACACACGACAGCTCAGTATTCGATGAAAACTAAATGCCTGAGAATAAAATAACAACTCACTAACAGCAGAACTGACTACAGGCTTTGGTTGGACTGGTACAGGGATGGAGGTCCAGTATAGGGTAACTGATTGCCCTCTAGTGGCTAAGGCCGCAGGATCAATCACTAACACAGTAGAATCATCTACATAATGAATAAAACTAAATGAGTAAGTCATGGCCCATGAGCTGGAAGAAGTGCATTTCTATGTGATGTTCAGTTACAATAACAGACATGATGATCCTTGTTACAGAGCCCGTTTAAAGAAAGGGAGACCGTCACCTCCTCCCGGTGCCCACTTAGCTGACAGGGGAGAGCGAATTTCAGTCCAGTTTCTTTTTGTGTGTGAACTGCACTCTTTGATTGCTACTGCTTGCACACATTAGACTCCAATAAGGGAAGAGCATCCCGTGGCAGACTCATCTCTCAGGCAACAGAGGCACAGGCTCCCTCACAGCTGTCCAATAGCCCTGCATCCTCACCTCACGATTTCAACTACAGATCAACCCTCCTTCCCCTCTCCAGTCATCTGGAGTCATCTCCACCCTTCTCTACTTTAACTTTCTCCAAGACCATTTTCCCAACTGACATGCTACAATTTCATCTACTTATTCAGTTACCATCCATCCACCCGCAGGAAAAGGGGCATCAGGAAAGAAGCCTTTTCCTCTTTACTCAGCCAGGACTTGAACTTGTAGGATGCACAGGTGAATTAAAGTAGACAGATTTGAGGAGCTCCCGGGTGTGATAATTATCATTTATACTCCCTGAATTAAATTTCCTACTGGGGTTACTCACTATAGTTCCTCTAATTAATAATCAAAAACTGAAAACATTTTCTGAAGTAAAAAGTAAATTGTGTTGTGCTTGCTTTATTGAATATTTCTATACGCCACTAGAGAGGAGAGGACAGTACATGGAAGGGAGCAGAAGATGAGTGCTACCCTGAAGTAGACTCACTCAGAATCAAATTGCTCCCACCTGAGTTTAACACAATACAATTAAGAACTCATCAGATTACCTTAATCGCAGTGATCCATGAAAAACCCTGGAAAGTTTTGAATGAACGACAGATAATCCACCAGAGCTGATGCCAGAAAGGGGTGACACATGTGATCTCATCTAAGGCTGAGCTCTTCCCAGCATTCTGTTCCCCCAAGAGTGGATCCAGTTCTGTTCTCATTTCTCTGTATAAGGAGGACTGGGCATACATATTGGCTAAGTTTTCTGTGACTTGGTGCCGTCTCTCAGAAAATTCTTTATATTTGTCAGCTTTGGGATAAAAGGGGATAAAGACAAAAACAGACAATAACTTAACTGACTGTTTGACACATTTTCATGAATAGCTCATAAATTATTTATCAGTTTTTCTCCGAGACATTCTCATATACTGTAGACTGGCCTCAAAGTTGCTATGAAGCCGAGGGTGACCTTACACTTCCCCAGGTCCTCCTGTTTCTGTCTCAAGTGCTGTGATTACAGGCATGCACCTTCACACCTGGTTATGCTGTGCTAGGAACCAAACTCAAGGCTTTGTGTGTGCTAGGCAAGCATTCCACCAGCCCAGACACTTCTTCAGCCCACTGCATTTGAGCATAATGGAATTACTCCTGTGTGATTCCCTTACAGATTGGAAAAGTGTCCCTAACTGATCTGACTACTGTTGTTACCCCATGGACACAGCTAACTGAATGGCCTTTTCCCATCCCTGATTCTTAATAAAGTCCTGCTTCCCAGATGGATCTATAATTCTTAACATAAATGTCTGGTCTCCCCTGTCTGCTGCAAGTGAATGTATATGCAAATGTATATACAATGGTTTAACCTCCAAAGTATCTTGTTTTTAAGATGTGACCAACAAAGCCAGGCATGATGGCATAGGCCTGTAATGCCTACACCTGAGAGATGAGCTAGAAAGAGAACACGTTTGAGGCCAGCCTGACTACATGAGCAAACCCCGTCTAAAACAACAAGAGTAATATGGCAAACAATAGGTCATTTACTTTTTAACAGAAATTTACCTTGTGACGGTATCATATAAATGCTCTTTTGTAAATTAAGTAAAAAACACCTAACACTGACAGCATCAGCTATTAGCTAATTCAGGATAGTTAATTAACGTAAAAAGCTCTATTCTAATTAACCACCCTGATGTGTTTTAATGAAATCCATTATGAAAAAAAAAAAAAACTCTGTGACTCTAGAAGTCTCACATACCTTCATGGTTGTCTTCCTCTGTGTCTAATATAGTAGAGGAACCTCCATTAATGATGTTCAGGAAGAAGTCTGCAGGGTTGTTGTGGGAATCATAGTTGTAGCCTACAAAGAAGGTTGGCCATGACATGAACCTGAGGACCCTCCTTCAGAGCATGGGAAAGGGAAGGGAAGACCGAATCTAAGAATTTATTCCTCCTCTTTTCCCTCCCCCCACTAATTTATTCTTCCTATTATGTATACACTCATACTATTTCAGCACTTGTATACATGTATATGTTTATGTTGGCGATACATACATATACATATACATATATACATAAATATATATGTATATGTATATATATACACACATATACACATATATGATATAGACATAAGACAATGTAAACATAGACTAGACACAGACATAGATTAGACTAGTCATAGAAAGAGGCTCGATATTGATATGGTCATAGACATAGACTAGACATGAACCTAGGCTAGACTAGGCATAGATTAGATTATACCTTGTCTGGGCATAGGCATAGAGATATACCTAGGCATAGGCGTAAGCATAGGCATAGGCATAGATATTGACATAGACGTGGTCATAGACATAGAACACACATAGATATGAATCTCCCAGTGAAATATTCATTTGAATACGGTCTAAATTTTTATTGGACTCCATACACTCACGAATGTTTACATATTTTAAAATGACAAATATTAGTGGTGGACAGCAAATATTTAACTCTTTATTTAGAGTCAAGAGAATCATCCATATCTATGTTCATATTTTGCTAAAACTGATGGCATGAACCATTAAAAGAAATTTCATCATCCATCTGACATGAACAAATCAGGCAGACTAACAACATGAGTCACAAAAGCCAGACTTGGGCATCTATAGTCTCCAAAATTCCCTAAACCTGAAACCCAGTTACTAGTATACAAAATAACCTCTCCACAGCTCCTCAGTCAGCTCACACATCTGGAAAATTAAAAAGCACCATCTGCTAGTTCAGCAAGAACATGAGGACACTGGGCCTTTCTAAAGCTGTTCCAATGAGTGAAAACTGCACCTGAAGCTGGTGTGTTTATTAGGGGGGTCACCTGACCAGCTCAGTGAAAATACTGTGATACAGGCTTGATACAGGACAGGAGAAAGAAGAGAGACCTAAACAGCAAGCCGGTGCCTCACAACTAACAGAATCCTGTCACCACATCAACCAAAGTTCTTTACAATGGAGAAACCCTCACACAGCATGTCTACACGAGAGTCAAGCCTCATTCCTGACATCCCCTGTTCTCCTCCCAGATCCCATGAATGAAGGAGCTCTCACAGCAAAAGCCAGCCATACCTGCAGATGTGAAGTATTCCAAAGCCTCCTGTGCAGGGCCGTGAAACATGAGTTTTCCTGAGGCCACTAAGGTGAGGCTATCAAAACATCTGAAGATGGAGTATGGGGGATGGTTAATGGAGAAGATGATGGTCCTTCCCCTCATAGACATCCTAAGTTTAAAGAGGGAGAAACCATAAGTCACTGCACAGAGGAACCTTGACATTCTCAACAAAACATTTTATCCTGAAGTTTTACTCTTTGTTCCCATTTCAACTTGAATTTTCCTTAGAAATATCTCATCTCACTTTTATTATGCACCGGATAGGAAACTAAGCTAAAGCCTTTATTTATAAGACTAGGACTTCCAGCATGCGGGATGTCAATAGTCCACAGTCCACTCAAGTGTTTCTGCATAGTTCCCTGCCAGTCCTCTAGACACTGAGTGGGAGTATCTGGGAGTCAGTGCAAGGAGTCCATATCATGAACAGGCAGCCCAGGTGATGGACAGGTTCACTCAAGCTTGAGAACCAATGACAGAGCAAATATTACCACTATGACTGTGTGCATAATGCCCTCTAATCATTTACTTTCTGCCTCTTCAGGAAGTGGTTTCCATTGTTCTGATAATGTGATTCGCATTCTTAACCTTGTCCTCCCTGCTAAAGGCTTCAGCAATAACCTCATTTCAATCCTCACAATATCAGCATAAGGCACTTGTATTATAATTTCTCCCTTTCTGTTGACAAGGCTTAAAATGTCAAGCAAAAGACCAAGAGGTCAGTTACTGTGGGGCAAGCCTGGAATTTGATCATTGGTTTAATTCCATGATAAAATGTCATATCTTCTGACAGGAGACCCAATAAGCAAAACCTGTTTAAAACTACTTGCATTAAAAAATGTGTATCTTTGCTCAAATCTGTAATATCTCAGTACTTAAGAGTACCAGGATTTCAAGGCCCACCTAGGTTACAAGAGAACATTTTTCAAAAAGACTAAAAAAAATGGGAATGAAAGAGAGGGGTAGGGAGGTAAGGAAGGAAGAAAGAATGGATAGAAGGAAGGAAAAGGCAGGGGAGAAGAAGGGAAGGAGAACAGAGAGGGAGAAAGCTGGGCGTGGCAGTGCACACCTTGAATTCCACCAGGACAACTTTGTTAGAGACAAGGACAGAATAATGCCATAATAGCTGGGTTTTTTCCCATGTTAGACTAATAATAAATCACAAAAATAAAAACTGCAATTTCATGTAATATAAACCAGCAACTACAACTAGATTAGATCAAGAATCAAGCCAAGCAAACTAGATGGCTCAGTGGGTAAAGGAACTTGTCAGTCTAAAGACCTGAGTTTAGCCCACAGAACCAATGGTGGCAGGAGAAAGTCAACACCTTGACTTGTCCTCTGACATCTACATGCATGCTACACACACACACACACACACACACACACACACCAAAAAATAAATAAATCTTTAAAAAGCATTTCATCAGTTGGATCTATTTTGAATACTATTGGAGACCAAGGAGAACATAGCATATCAGGGCCTGAGTCTGCTCCCAGAACACTGGGGGAAGCCACATAGGATGATTCCATGCAGTGCACTAAGACTAGCCATGGAATGAGACACATTGACAGAGAGATGTGTTCCATACTGGAAAATGAGCAAGAACTTACTCTTAGAGAATCCTGAAACAGACAGGAAAGTGGACAGACAGGGAAAGCAGTGTCTTCTGAGGAGTCTACATACTAGAAGGTGATAAGTTCATTGTTGACTTCCTCACTGGGAAGGTACAATGATGGGGAGATCTTGACTAAGGAGGTACAGGCAGGAGTGTTTAGGGTGATGGGCCATGAGAACAAAATACAGGGGGAAGAAAATAAAGATAGGGAGCACGATAAGTTCCACTGCCAGGAGCGTAGATCATGGGAATGTGCTAACTCTCATATGGTTCTTGGGGCTCTTCAATCAGTTTGGAACTCCTATTATATTTTAAAATGAAAAAACCTAGTCCTTACATTTTTTTTCTATAACTGTTTCAGGCACAGACTTCTTTCTTGAGAGAAGGAAATGCCATATGTTTTCCTTCACCCTTCCCCAGGTTCAGGACTCAGACATTAGGAATCATTCCCTCAGCCATCACACCCAGGGCTTATCCCACAGATAATCCTATTGATTCTATATTTGAAACTACCCACAACCCATCATTTCCTAGCAAATGAACCCCCACACTTTAAGCTCTTACTGAGATCTTTATACCCCATGGTGCAACTGGACAACCTTCTCCATGATATATTGCTCTGCTCAAAACTCAGAAGACTTTCCACATCCACACCATGGGAAACCTTAGCCTTTAAGGTGACTCAGATGGTGTAGGAAATCCACACACAACCCAGCTCACTCCAGTGTGAATGTGGAAAGCTGAATTATGTCATTCCACAGACTCATTTGTGGAAGACCTCACATCTAAGAAATTAGAATGTGGCTAAATGGATACAGGGTCTTTAAAAACTTAATTAAGGTAGAATGAGTTATTAGTGTGTCCTAGTATAACTGGTGTTCATTAAGAGATCAGGGCAGAGGACATGAAGAGGGAGGAGATACCATTCACAGTTCAGTGACCCAGGCTGCAGCAGACACAAACTGTGGATACATTAATATCTGGCTTCCAGGATCCAGAACTGTAAGAAATTTAACTTCTATCAAGTCACCTGATCTGTAGTGTCTTTAATATTGTACTACCAACTTTCCTTCCCCTCAGGTCACTGGGGTCCATTTGGTCTCCCTAATTATCCAGACACACCAAATATGCTTTGCCTCAGAGCAAATGAATTTTCCCTCTATCCAGCACTCTGTTCAGCTCTCACTCACTCACCCTGAGCTCACTTGTCACATGCTTGAGGGTTATGGGGACACACTAATTGAAGTTGTGCTCCACCTTTACCACAGCCATCTCTCCCTGTGTTCATGACTCAATCTTCTTGATGTGTGTTCCTTGTTAATTGAAGTTGCACTCTAACAAACAATGAAGGAAACCTGCTGCTTACTTCTGAATCTCCTGCACCAAAATGCACACAAGTGACCAGGTACTGAGTGAATAAAACTAATGATCCTTCGACATTTACCTTTTCAGGACGGAGATGACATCAGCAGTAGTTGTCATGTCTAAGTCAGTGGTGGGGTCATCCAGGAACAAAATGGGATGCTCGGTGACCAGCTCCATTGCTATACTGGTCCTCTTCCTGAGCTCCTTAGAGCTAGGCTGAAACACAAACGCCCATTGTTATCAACAAGGAGGACAACAGTGGTCGTCATTTGTGAAGTAGGCGGTTTCAGTAATAAAAGGGTTTGTTTTTATCAATATCCTGAGGAGCAGAGTGTGGGCATCTGGGAGAAGAAGAAGGTTCCTCTTTTCCAAGTGAGTGGAAAGAGGCTCAGGTCAGAGTTGACATGAAGCCCATGCTAACAACAGTTACTGTTTGTTCCTTATCAAGTTACATATTCGAGGGCAATGAGTTATCAAAGTCCCAGACTGGCACAGTGGAATCACTGTGTAAGTAATGAGGAAGACAGGACAGGAGAAGAGGAAGTGTCTCTAATGAATTAGTGGTCATTTAACACTTCCCAACTCTCTCTCTCTCTCTCTCTCTCTCTCTCTCTCTCTCTCTCTCTCTCTCTCCACACATCACAAACATTCTACACAGTAAACACATACAAATCAGTGCTCATCTCACGCTCTCCATCCTCATGCCACCCAGGACCCAAACCCAGGAATGGTGCGGCCTAGGATGGGCTGGGTCTTCCTACATCACTTTCTACATCTATAACTTTATCAAGACAATCGCATACAGAGAGGCGCACAAGGCACCCTGACTACAATGCCTCATAGAGACTCTAAGTGATTCCATGTGACTCTAGACTGTGTTGACTTGACAGTTAAAACCACCCACCATAGACAGAAGAGGATAAAAACACAGAGAGACAGGCTACAGAAAATAACAGGCATCATACAAGTAAAAGTAAATGTTAAAGAGGCCAAGTATAACCCTGAAGGGAAACGAATGCAGAGTGAAACACAGAGTCAGAGTCCTCCATCTCACATCCTATGTCAGTCCAGAAATACAATTGAAACAACAAAGGAGCAAGTCCTGTAGGGGAGGAGACAAGAAACAGAAGAAAGCACTTGTCAAATTCTCTAAAGAGTCAAGAGTTTGGGTCTGAAGGGAACAGGGGTCGTGTGAGAACCACATGGAAATGACATGTGAGAAACACACAGAAATGACATGTGAGGAATACACGGAAATGCCCATATGAGGAACACTTTTTCCTGCTGGATCACACTCCATTCCCAATTGCTAAGATGGATTCTCAGCTTAATTTTCTCTTTATATCATGGAAGCAGCCACTCACTTATTAAAATTAAAACAGAGAACAGCCACCTTGACCACACTCGTTATAGGAAACTGATGGCAGAGGGTCATATTATCCACGCAGGGATTTTCTGTTTTGGCTCTGAGTCTTTTGAGATTTTTCTTCCCATTACCTTGACATTTGACTCCTCATCCAGATGCAGAAGTTCAAGGACCTCATTAATTCGTTTTCTTTTCTCATCTCTTGTTATAGACATTGGAAGTCGAAGAGCTGCTGAGAACTCGACATTCTCTCTCACAGTCACTGTGCCCATCACCATGTCATTCTTAAGGTTAAGTAGAATATTAATTGCAAACAATAATCTGTAACATCTTCACTCTAACTTCACTCTAATATATGTAACCTAGGCACATGTAAAGTTCTACACAAATGCAATGATTTACTTAAAAATGTTCTTTCAATGTTACTGATTTCAATTAGAGTGCCTGATGTAATCACTTTGACTCCCTTTCCCATTTGCCTTCCAAGTAGAGCTCAGGGATTTTGGTGACTTCTACCTGAAATTATTTGCAAATAACATCTTGAAAGCAGTGGAGAAAGATGGAGGAAGGAAAAGGTTGACAAGAGTAGTCCTTTGTAGAATTAAATCACAGCAGCAATTATTCATACTGTATCACAGATTTCATAATCAATCCCTCCCATCTTTCTATTTAATAATGCCAATCTCAGGCTAATGAGTCCTTAGGAAAAGCTGGTGTAGAGTAAGCTGGGCCTATAAATGTGTCATATAATGATCTAGAAACACACAAATCTACAAGCTAAGCATCTAACCATCCAGAAGCAGAGAAAATCTAAAATTACAAACCCACCAACACTTACTTGTGGGACATAACCAGAAGTGCATTTGAAATTAGCAGGTCGAGGTTTTCCGTTTATCAAAATATCTCCCGATAATCCACGTGTATCTTTCCTCGCGGCTAAGACATCTAATAACCTACAGAGGGTTAAATATGTTGTGTAGTTTACTTTCTCCTTTCAGTAACAGCTATCACCTTTCAGCCACTCAGAATAAAAATTATTCATGTCAAAATTTTACCAAAATCAATCACTTTCTCTCTCTCTCCCTCATACACACACACGCACACACACACACACACACACACACACACACACACACATACACACACACACACCTCCCTGTGTTCTAATACAGCCCAGAATTATGAATTCAAGACATGATCCACAAGAATGCCCCTCCCTTGCTATCTGACCTTGGGGACTGAAACAGGTAGTTTCCTTCTGTGTTTTGAGTGTTGGGCTTGGTGTTGCTTTCTTGACCCCAGAAACTTGTTCATCTTTCTAATTTTAATAGTATGTCCCCCAATTTAAATAATATGACCCCACAGCAAATGCCAATTGCTCTATCATTTCCCATGTGGAAAGTGAACTACTAAGACGTCTGTGCCCGGTAGAAAAAGAGAATGCACCCTCCGGTACATTATCCCCAGCACACAGGACAGACTCACACATTTACACTCACATAATACTTAGATATCTCCTACAGAACTGGTTTTAGTGCACGGAAACTGGATGCAAAGGGCTTGCACATGCTTTCTGTTATACTCACAAAGATCTGCTCCTGTTCTGAGGACCCATGATGGCATTGAGGCCAGGTTTCATGATCCCACTGCAGACACAAAATAAAACTGGGTGATTTTTCTATTTTTTTTAAAAAAAAAGTTACATTGTCTTAGTGTTTACACTCAATATGCTATTGAAGTTGGATGAAATTGTACACAGAAAATAAGCAAATACTCATAAATAAACCTTACCACAAGAAACCATTGAGTCATGGGATATCAGTAGACATGTCCTTACTATTAAAATAGAATCAAATCAATGCATATGGTGAAATCTTTCTTGGACAAATCAAACCTGTTGGAAGGTCAGAGAATGGAGCTTGCCACTAGCTAACCATAGAAGTATGGAGGTCTGTACAGACAGACAGGAGTTGAGATAGCTGAGCGGAAACAGGATATAAGGAGAGCAGAAACTAGCTCTTATGTCTGCTGAGATGGTGAATAAATGAAGTATGGCTGTGGCTCACTCTTTCTCTCTGATCTCTCATCATTTCCCCTATATATGACTCCATGTGTTCATTATCTAGACCAATTAAGAACTATATTTATGAATCCCACCACCTCCAGGGAACATCTTGGACCTGCACTGAGCACACTAGATCCGCATATCCATGCAGGACCTCCTTGAGTTCCCAACTGCCTGATCTCTGACCCCCACTTCCTGTCCTCAGCTGGAGCTCCAGGCCCTTCCAAGATATCTGCCTATCCCCACTCAAAATGTTTTCAACAAAATCATTGAAGAAAACTTTCCCAATCTGAAGAAGGACATGCTCATGAAAGTACAAGAAGCATACCAAATACCAAATAGACTGGATCAAAGAAAAAAGATCCCTCAACACATAATAATTAAAACATATAACATACAGAATAAAGAGAGAATATTAAGAGCATCAAAGGAAAAAGACCAGGTAACATATAAAGGCAGACCTATCAAAATTACACCTGACTTCTCCATGAACACTCTCAAGGCCAGAAGGTACTGGATAGATGTTCTTCAAGTACTAAGAGTCCATGGATGCCAGTCCAGGCTACTATACCCAGCAAAACTCTCAATCACTATAGATGGATAAAACAAAATATTTAATGACAAAGCCAGAATTTTAAAATACATATCTACAAATCCAGCCCTACAGAAACTTCTGGAAGGAAAACTCTAACCCAAAGAAGTTAACAACACTCACAAAGACATAGGCAATAGATAATTCCACTTCACCAGAACCCAAGTGTACAGCAGGACAAATATACTCACAATACCATAGCCAACAACAAATCTAAAATAAACAAGAATTAACAATCAGTGGTCCTTACTTTCCCTCAACATTAATGGTCTTAACTCGCCTATAAAAATACACAGGCTAACAGAATGGATACAAAGACAGGATCCATCCTTCTGCTACATACAAGAAACACACCTAAGCTTCAAATACAGACATTACCTCAGGGTAAAGGGTTGGGAAAAGATCTTCCAATCGAATAGACCCAAGAAACCAGCAGTGTGGCTATCCTAATATCTAACAAGTAAAACTTAAAACCAAAATCAACTAAATCACAGGAGACATCCATCAGCACAAAGTTTCAATTCTGAACATCTGTGCCCCAAATACAAAGGCACCCACCTTCATAAAAGAAACACTACTAAAACTCAGCTCACATAAAACCTTACACACTCATAGTGGGAGACTTCAACACCCCACTCTCACAGCTAGACAGGACCTCCAGTCAGAAACTTAACAAAGGAACAAAAGAGCTAACAGAAGTTGTCTCAATTGGACTTAAAAGACATCTATAAAATATTCCATCCAAACACAAAAGAATATACCTTCTTCTCTGCTCCACATGGAACCTTTTCTAAAAATCAACCACATAGTAGGCAACATAACAATCTGCAACAGATACAAAAAAGTTGAAATAGTTGCCTGTATTTTATTAGACCGCCATGCTTTAAAGTTGGAATTTAACAACAACAAAAAACGCAGAAACCCTACTAACTCATGGAAACTGAACAATGCAAAACTGCACCATACCTGGGTCAAAGAAGAAATAAAGAAATTAAGGACTTCTTAAAATTCAATGAGAATGAGGACACAACATACCCGAACTTATGGGACACCTTGAAAGCAGTGCTACGAGGGAAGTTCATTGCACTAAGTGCCCATATGAAGAAAACAGAGGATAGTCACATTAGAGAACTAACAGCACAGCTGAAAGCCTTAGAACAAAAAGAAGCAAACTCACCCCAGAGGAGTAGATGCCAGGAAATAACCTATTTGAGGGCTGAAATTAATAAAGTCGAAGCCAGGAAAACAAAACAAAAAAATCAATGCAACAAAGAGTTGGTTTTTTGAGAAAAATCAACAAGATAGACAAACCTTTATCCTCACTAACCAAAAAGCATAGAGAGAACATGCAAATTAATAAAACCAGAAACGAAAAGGGGGACATAACAATGGACACAGAGGAAATCCAGACAATTTTCAGGTCTTACTTTGAAAACCTACACTCCACAAAGTTTGAAAATTCAAAGGAAATTGACAAATTTCTGAATAACTATCACTTATCAAAATTAAATCAAGAACAAATAAACAATTAAATAGACCTATGACCCCCTAATGAAGTAGAAGCAGTCATCAAAAGCCTCTCAACCAAAAAAAAGCCCAAGGCTGATGGCTTCAGTGCAGAATTCTAGAAATTCAAAGAAGAACTAATACCAACACTTCTCAAATTGTTCTACACAGTAGAAACAGAAGGTTCATTACCAAACTCTTTTTACGAGGCCACAATTACCTTTGTACCAAAGCCACACAAAGACACAACTAAGAAATAAACTATAGACCAATATCCCTCAGGAACATTGATAAAAACATAATAAAATACTGGCAAACCAAATCAGAACACATTAGAGAAATGATCCCCCATGACCAAGTAAGCTTCATTCCCTGGGTTACAGGTATGGGTTAACATATGAAAATCTATGAATGTGATCCACCACATAAACAAACTGAAAAAGAAAAACCACACGATCATCTCATTAGATGCAAAAAAAGCCTTTGACAAAATTCAACACGCTTTCATGTTAAAGGTCTTGGAGAGATGAGGGATAACAGGAACATACCTAAACATAATAAAAGCAATATACAGTAAACCAACAGCCAACATCAAACTGAATTGAGAGAAGCTTAAGGCGATTCCTCTAAAATCAAGAACAAGACAAGGCTGATCTTACTCTCCATATCTCTTCAATATTGTACTTGAAGTTCTAGCTAAAACAATAAGACAGCAAAAGGAGATCAAAGGGATCCAAATTGGAAAGGAAGAAGTCAAACTTTCTCAATTTGCAGATGATATGATAGTTTATATATGTGATCCAAAAAACTCTACCAGGGAACTCCTACAGCTGATAACCACCTTTAGCAAACTAGCAGGATACAAGATAAACTCAAAAAAGTCAGTAGCCCTACTATATACAGACAGAAAAGGGGCTGAGAAAGAAATCAGAGAAACATCACCCTTTACAATAGCCACAAACAACATAAAGTATCTTGGGGTACTGCTTGCTAAACACGTGAAAGACCTATATAATAAGAACTTTGTGTCTTTAAAGAAATAAATTAAGGAGGTACCAGAAAATGGAAAGATCTCCCATGCCCTTGGATAGGTAGGATAAACAGTAAAAATGGCAATCTTGCCAAAAGCAATCTACAGATTCAATGCAATCCCCATTAAAATCCTACCACAATTCTTCACTGACCTTGAAAGGATAATAATCAACTTTATATGGAAAAACAAAAGATGCAGGATAGCCAAAACAACCCTATACAATAAAAGAACTTCAGGAGGCATCACCATCACCAACTTTAAGCTCTACTACAGAGCTATATTTCTGAAAACATTCTGGTATTGGCACAAAAATAGACAACTGGACGAATGGAATCAAATTGAAAATCCAGACATTAACCCACACACCTATGAACTCTTGATTTTTGACAAAACAGGAAAGCATCTTCAACAAATGGTGCTGGCACAATTGGATGATAGTTTGTAGAAGACTGCAGATAGACCTATGTCTATCACCATGCACAAAACTCAAGTCCAAATGGATCAAAGACCTCAACATAAATCCAGCCTCACTGAACCTCTTAGAAGAGAAAGTAGGAGGTACCCTTGAACAAATTGGTACAGGAGCCTGCTTCCTGAACATAACTCCAGTAGCATAGACAATTAATAGATGGTACCTCCTCAAACTGAGAAGCTTCTGTAAGGCAAAGGACACAGTTGACCAAACCAAATGGCAGCCCACAGACTGGGAAAAGATCTTCCCCAATCCTACATTTGACAGAGGGATCATCTCCAAAATATACAAAGAACTCAAGATACTAGTCAACAAAATGCCAAATAACCCTATTAAAAAGTGGGGTACACAACTGAAGAAAGAATTCTCAATAGAGGAAATCAAAAAGGCTGAAAGACATTTAAGAAAGTTCTCAACATCCTTAGCTATCAGATAGATGCAAATCAAAACAACTTTGACATACCATCTTGCTCCTGCAAGAATGGCTAAAATTAGAAACATCAATGACAACTTATGCTAGACAGGATGTGGAGAAAGGGGAACACTCCCTCACTGATGGTGGGAGTACAAACTTGTACAGCCATTTTGGAGATCAGTATGGTGGTTCCTCCAGAAATTGGGAATCAGTCTAGCACAAGACCCGGTTGTCCCCCTCTTAAGCATATATCAAAATGATCCACATCCATGCAACAAAGACATGTGCTCAACTATGTTCATAGCAGCACTATTTGTAATAGCAAGAACCTGGAAGCAACCTAGATGCACCTTAACTGAAGAAAGGATAAAGGAGATATGGCACATCTACACAATGGAATACTACTCTGTGGGGTGGGGGAGGGAAACAATGGAATCTTGAAATTTGCAGGCAAGTGGATGGAACTTGAAGAAACCATCCTGAATGAGGTAACACAGAACATGGTATGTACTTGCTCATATATGGATTTTAGACCTAGAGCAAAGGATCACCGGCCTATAATTCACACCACCAGAGAAACTAGGATACAAGGAGGATTCTAAGAGATTCATACAAGGTCCCTCACAGAAGGGGAAAGGGACAAGATCTCCTGAGCATATTGGGAGTGTGTGGGGACAGTGAGTGGAGAGGAAGCTAGGAGAAAGAGAAGGGGAGGGGAGGAAAGCACGTGGGACTAGGAAGATTGAGTCTAGGGAGGAATAAACAAGGGGAAGAGAGAGAGACACACACAGAGAGACAGAGACACACACAGAGAAAGAGAGAGAGAGAGAATGAAAGAGGGAGCCATTATTAGTTTGAAGAGAAAAGTGAATCTAGAGAAATGTCCAGAGACCTACAAGACTGATTCCAACTATCAATTCGAATAACAGTGGAAAGGCTACCATAAATGCCCTTCCCTGATAATGAGATTGATGACTAACTTATCCACCATCATAGAGCCCTCATCTAAGTAGCTGATGGAAACAGAAGTAGACACCCACAACATAAGCACTGTCCCTAACTGGAATCCAGATGCAGAGAGGAAGGACAAGACCAGACTACAGAAACACATGGAGACAGCTAGCCTGAACAAGGAGGAGCTGATGGGCCCCCAGACTGATAGCTGGGAATCCAGCGTTGGACTGACTCAGACTCCCTTAACATGGGTCACAGAAGGCCTGAGCAGTCTAAGGGACCTCTGAGAATGGAACCAGGATGTATCCCTGGTGCACAAAAGAACTTTGGGAGCACATTCCCCATGGAGGGATACTCCCTTAACCTAGAGGCAGTAGGGAGGGCCTAGTCAGTACTCCAAATGACTTGACAGATTTAGATGACCCCTCCTGGAAGGCATCACCCTACATGTGGACGGGGGATGGGAGGGGAGGGTGGTCGGAGGCATGGGAGGGTGGGAGTGAGGGAAAGGGGGAGGGAGGGAAAGAGGAAGGGAGGGAGAAGGAACTGGGATCAATATGTAAAACAAAAATAAAAAATATAAAAAGAACTATTTTTTCTTCATCTTAAGCAGAAATTAAAAGACTATAAGAGAGTGTTTCAGAGACAGAAGAACATAACAGACTTCTATAGAACATTCCATCCAAACACAAAAGAATATACCTTCTTCTCAGCTCCACATGGTACCTTCTCTAATATTGATCACGTACTTGGCAACATAACAAGAAAACAAAGAAAAGGAAAACAAACAAAACAAAGGAAAAAACACAAACAAAACAAAAAACCAAATCAAACGGAAAAAATCTACATACAGAAACACAATATACGATAGCATTCCCTGATAAAGAGATAAAGTACAACTAATTTAGAACTGGGGTATACTAGTCTGTAGAGGGCATTTTTCATTGTTGGATAGGTACAACACAAACATAAGCTGTTAGAAAAATGATTGATTTATTCAGAGTGGTGAATATTCAGATTGAAAAGGACATATAATTATATTCTTGTATTATTTTATTTTTTATTTAAATTAGAAACAATCTTATTTTATATATTAATCCCAGTTCCCTCTCCCTCCCCTTCTCCCATGACCTCCACCAACCCCCATCCCATCCTGTTTCTCCTCCATGGAAAGGGTGATGCCTCTTCTATTGGGGATCATCAGAGTCTGTCACATCATTTGGGACAGGGCCTAGGCCCTCCCAGGTGTGTCTAGGCTGAGAGACTATCCCTCTATGACTAGTGGGCTCCTAATGTCCATTCCTCCTATAATCTTATATGAAACTTAGCTATATTAACATTTGTTATTTTGTTTCCAAACAATGTGTCAATCCTTTGCCTGGCTCATTCCCCTCTGGGTAAGACACTGATGGAGGTTGTAGATGGAGGAGCAGAAATGACCAGTGCCCAAGAACAGAGGTGATGGTTGGGGTAGGGAGGAAGAGTCTCTGCCCACTGTGAGGGAAATGTTGGTGTGTATGCTCTGACCTTAGATTTGGTTGAAAGCATGGATTCTCTGTGTTATGAAACAATGTCTGGAATGATTTTAGCTCTTTGTAGCTCTTGATGAATTTTGAGCAAATGCATGAGCACCTGGACTTTGTGCTGTTGGGACGTCCTCATTGCTTCTGTCTCAACACTTGTAACTGACCCCGGCAGCCTGTTATGAACTTTGATGTCAATTTAGGGAGTGCTTATGGGTATAGACCCATATACAATTCTTTTATACATTCAAATGTCTAGGTATTACATTTTCAATATACCATCCTCATCCTTTGGTTTTAACAGGGCATCTTTGATATTATGCTTTCATTACTAATTTTATTGAATTAAAATAATTTATCAGTCTTCTTAAAAACATTTCTAAGGAATTGATAAGCTTGCTTGTATTTCCAAAGAACCAACTTTTTACATCATTAATCCATTATATTGTTCTTTTAATCCTCATCTAATTAATTTCACTGTGATCTTGAATCTATCTTTATGTAAGAGAAGATGAGGCTGCTGTCCAAGGGTAAGAACCTAAGTTAAACATCCAGAATTCACATAAAGTTGGGTGCAGTCATCTGTAACTCCATGCTCTAGGGAGAGGTGTGAGACAGAGACAGGAGAATCCCAGGAAGCTTGCAGGCTGCTAGCCTGGCATACACCTCAGTGGACAATGAGACATTCTGTCTGCTACAGGGTAGAAGGTAAAGACCAATGCTCAAGGTTGTCCTCTAACATTGTGGCATAACTTCCATACATCTATACATGTGAACATGCACACATACACAATAACATAGCAACACACACACGCACGCACACACACAGCTTCTCTATAATAAAATCTGTGTTGTTGAAAAAGTTGTTCAATACAGTGGTCACTTTACTCTATGCACGTACCTGATATTTGATAGTCTTTCTATCACACCCATTTTTTTACGAAAAGGAAAGCCACTGTACACTGTTTCTTGATAGCTGATGTTATGAAAACTTAACACAGCCTCTCCAGTCAATTTCTTAGGGTCCATTCCAGGAAGGTCACTGCGATTTCTTGATATCATTGGGATTGTAACAGGGTCATTATTGGAAGACATCCTGAGAGGTTCTTCCTTCCTGTAGAAGGAAGAGCAGTAGTAAGTTGATGGACACACAAACAACATTATGACACAGCATAACGAACGCATTACATATTGTATTAAACTGTGCAGCCACAGGCAGATCCCTTCCAGATATCACTGTGATTACCTAAGGATCCAATGAGAAGCACATATAACAGAGAATGTAGACTCCCTGTAGATACCAAATTCCCAAGAAACAAAGAACCCTAATAAGTAGAGTATAAATGATATTCTTAATTTATAAAGAAAGGAGGGGACAGATGAGGGGACAATCTATCTTACTTCAAAAGCATATTATAGTATTATATAAGTTCAGATGTAGAATACATAACCAAAATTACCCCATGTCCTATGTGTGGATGTGTTTCAGTGTGTGTGTGTGTGTGTGTGTGTGTGTGTGTGTGTGTGTGTGTGTGATTATGGGGTATAACATAATAGGTGGGACTTGCACAGTGAACAAGAGAAATTTCTGACGATTTCCAGCTTCAGACTGTTCCTCTTGTCATGAGGCATCTGTAGACAGCAAAGAGGATAAACTGGGGACAATGACCTTATCATTGCTGTAATGGGGATGTTTAAATTCTATGAAGACTTAGATTTTAAAATGACACTGATTGGGGACACCAAATCAGTAAGTAGCTAAGCAGCTTAACAAGTTCAAGGAAAAACAATATCAATGAAATTTATATGTCTCATTTCCCAAAGGAAAGGGTTGGGAGTGCAATCCAGTGAACACTTGATCCCCCAGGTTTATTCTTCAACATTTTTAAGTACCCCGACCAAAAGGGCAAAAGACTTCTTTGACAAGATAAAAGAAACAGATCTTCTTCCTTCCCCAAATATTTGGTAACCACACCTTAGACTCAATTTCTCATTTATCTACTCTTTTAAAGTCCAGCTTCTAGGGTTTTCGCTCAGGGTTCAAAAAAAAGCACCCCAAATAAGAGAGGGACTAAAATCTGAGAGGAGAGAGAACTGACTCAAACACAACCGCTCTTTAGCATGTTCCCTTAGTTTCCTATTTCTCTGTCTCTCTTACTGTTCTCTCTTTCTCTTTCTTTATGTTTCTACCTCTTCCCAGTTCTTGGGGTTACAGGTATATACACATTTCCAACAGTAATTCTTTTTACAACACAATGTGAGGCTTAAGTTTCTCGAGGTCAGCAAGGCAGATAAAATTTATACACAGAGCAATAAACGAAAGCTGCTAGGAGAATCTTTTAGCATCAGTTGCTTAGAGCTGTGAGTCAAAGAGAGAGTCTAAGATTAATGTGTACAAGAAACAAAACCTGGTGCCTTCCAGGGCTCTAGACTCAGTGGTGGCACGGGCCTTCTGGAAAGTTTACTTTTCCCTGACGATGAGCAAATGGGCTGATCGCCTTTGTCTTATCTTCTCAAGGGAAACAGGAGGGAGCAGTAAATCTCTGAGCTAAAATCTTGAGTTAATAAAACAAGAAGTTTGAGAATCTTATATTGCAGTGTTAGTTTAGGTTATTGCTTCTCTATGTGCCAGTGATGTAAAGCCAGGTCATGCTTATTTTTTCTATCCATCTAGGCAACTATGAATCAATAACTTTGGGTGTGTAGTAATTCTGTGTCCTTGGATATCTTGGGATATCTTAGATGGGATGCTTTTGCCTGGGCCCTAAACACTGACTAAATGCCTGTCATAAAAATAATTGCAGGAAGGCAGATCTCTGCAACTGCAATGGAGGGGGGAATAAGGACCCGATAATGGGAAACAAGTCTCACACATAGCTAAGGAATGTAATCAAAAAACTAGGATCTGTTAATGAGAACAGGTATTTACATATAGCCAGGCAGTGTAATCATTAAAACTCCAAATGCATGGGGAAATTTGTTCCCAGTAAAAGAGGACATAGTGCTAAACTTGGGAAGTAAATCCTAAGTTTGTTACAGAAAGGAATAGAATCTATAGCAAGAAACAGCCAGCTCTTTTACAAGGTTATAACATCAAGTACATATTTTTATACTGGTTTTATCTATCAGGAAAATCTTTAATTCTTCTGACTAATCTTATGATATGATAGCTTTATAATTACTGTGTGATCTTGTGGCTTGTAACACTCATTATCTGGCCTTGAGGGCCAAGAATAACGTCACCTCAGAGAAAGTCTCTTGTTATATTTTCTGTTGTGAGCCTAGCCTTTAACGGCTGAGCCATTTCTCCAGCCCAAGTCTCTTGTTATTTAGATAAGACATAAAGGAAGTAAAATAAGACATCAATGATCAAGATCAAGCATCCTACAGTAGCCACACCTTAGACCTTTAGCTCCCATGACTTTAACCTTGGAAGAGTAATGATATGTTTGAGCTCTCTGACCTTAAGCAAAGTTAAAGAGGAGCCATCTATGTGAGCCCCAACAGGGAAGACAACAAAACCTGGTAAACACATCTGCCAGAAGTCCTGTTATTCCAGAAAAAAAAAAAAAAAAAAAAAAAGAAAGAAAGAAAGAAAGAAAAAACTATTAGCAGTCTGTTACCAGGTGAACCTGGAGATTCAGAAAAAATGGCATTGTCTAAACCTTGGGCCTTGAAATCCAGAAAGCTTAAGCTTTGGGAATTTGAACAAACCGAACTATCTGGCCAAGCTTCTGTCACAACAGTGTGCCCTACTCAGACATCACTAGTAAAATAATAAACCCCTCCTGTTCAAAAATGGTATCCAAAATTTCAATTGCTAATTTCTAAGCATGTCAGTAAACATGATTCAATATTCCAAAAGTGAGACTAAAGAAGGATGTTCACAAGTAACCCAGACTGTGATTGAAAATCAATAATAATATGACAGTTGATAGCGACATAGAAAGACAGAAAGGAATTGTGGATTCCTTATCACAAGAAATAAAATATATTTGAAAAACAATAATAATTAAGGTTTCAATAAATGCACTTAAACACCGATAGATTAAGGAGAACTGAGAAACACAGGATGAATTTTGAAATGAAATCCATTCCGAATGAGAATTATCATAAGAAAAAAGAAGCTCCAAGCAGGAAAGAGAGGGAACTACACAAGAGCACACAGAATCTTCAGGACTAGACAAAAGGGTCTGAAGTATCCCTGCAAGAACACCTGTGACAGGAGGAAATGCAGAAGACAGCTAGCACATAGAGAAACGCTGGCCTGGGCCTGAGAGTATAGGTTAGTGCATGTTCAACATCTATGAGGCCAGGGCAGCAACTCCAAGGTAGAGCAGGCTGCCCTGGTGACAACAGGCTGGTAGGAGATAACTGTCACTCCTCTGAGCCGAAAATCCAGCAGGGGTAGTAGACCTGACACTGTCTCCTCCTGCATGGCAGAGCAGTATTTGGTATAAACTCATTTTATCAGTCCCTGTCATGGGGTTACCGTGTGAAAAACATGCATACACGTATGCCATGCACATGTCAGATTCCTGAAGGTCAATGCATTCATAAGCTGCATCAACTTTCTTGCCTTTTTTTCCCCAGGCACTTGTTTTTCTGAGGCCTGTGGCATTTAGCAAGTGTAAACTGGTTCCTTCTGACCCTAATGACCAGTATTGTCTCTCAGATCACAGAATGCATGGAACACAATAAGACACAGTTTCACCAAGAAAGGTTACAGTGTTGAAAAGGTTAAAGCTGAGTTGTGGAAGGCAAAAACAGAGTTGAGATCCATGCAGCAGAGAATGCTATTCTGGAACAGGGTGGCCAATAAATCCTCAGTTGGCTCAAGGCACAGAGTCGGTTCAAGATACAGAGATGGTTCAAGGGGCAGATTGCTCCAAACACAGAGCTAACAAATGCTAGCTCACGTGAGCCATTTCCCTTTGGGCTGATCATGGTGACCACAAGTCCAGGAGACAGTGTTGAGAGTTTGTTGCCTTGCGATGGTGGCGTAATGAGGGCTCAGTGTATGATCCAAGTAAGGGCATTGCAGCACCCATGGCTCTGTGTTTTGGCAAACCCACAAGCTTGTTATCTTGGAAAAGATCTACAAACATCCATGGGCCCAGGTGTTCATGCCTCAATATGTTTATATTTAGGAGCAATTAATTTGTATTAATTATTAGTCTATGTCTCTCTGTCTGTGATGGACACTTGCACACATAAGGTGCAGTGTAATTTTGCCTCGGCATTTGCTTTTAAAATGAAGCAAACCACTGTTATATAAGATGAAGTCCTCAGGGCAAGGCACACTCTGAAAATGACTGTATCCTATATAATACAAGAAACACAGGAGGGCACAGTGCAACCTCTACACACTCCATCTCTCACAGTGCTGGAACCAGGAGCTCTATTCTCTTGAGCTGTGGTGATGATCCAAAATCATCAAGCAGGTGTCATGGTGCCCTGGCGCACTGTTCGGTAGGCTAACGGGGGGTGGGGGGGGACAGTAGTAGAGATGGGAGCACTGACAGACACAGTCCTAGCTCAGGCTGTGGAGACATGAGGACAGGCAGCCCGGCCTCCTGTAACCAGGGATGACATGGCTCCCGTGCATGGATGACTGCTGAGCCGAGAGTTCTCAGCAGATACTTTGGTTTCTGAAACTTCCCATGCCTCAGTGTGTGTGCAGCAGATAGGGGCTGAGAACCCAGAACCTGAGTGTAAGGATCACCCAATTTCCCAACTTCTTCCTTATTGCATGGTGGATAGGATCTGAAAATGCTTAGGGAAACAGCTCAGCTCCCAGGACTTCTCTCCATCACAGAACTCATGCTCTGTTTAACATTCCCTTTTCCCCAAAACATCTGGGAGATGCTGCTTTGTTTGTATAAATCTAAAAATGAAAGCCCCTACGTGGACCACAGACCACAAGGACCTCTGGGGATAGCATTGTCAAAGAATATACAAGGAAAAGGAGGCTTTAGATTGAATGATTTTCTGTTACTTAACACACCTTTGTGCTGTGTACAGCACCATCAAGAGGACATCAGCAGAGAGAGACAATACACACTAAACATGACCCTGATGCTCCCAGACCTGGAAAATTCTATGAGA